CCAGTGAAGAGCCAGGTCAGGTGTGAGTCAGCAGAAGTAGAAACAGGATCTGCCTCCCATGGGGAACCCACATTTCTCTCGCTCCACTGATCCCTTTGCTGCCTCTAGTCCAGGGATTTCCCCAACACGTTCAGGGGAGTGAAAGTTTCAAACACATCTTGGGTTTAGGATTTGTCCTCCTCTCAGCCTCGGTGCTGTGTCAGAGTTGCTGGAGCTTGCTCGGGAGTGGAAGAAAAGCAAGGTGCTGCTGTGGACACTGCCAGGAGTGGCTGTGCAGTGTGGCAGTGTGTGAGTGTGACAGTGTGTGTGACAGTGTGTGGCAGTGGCAGTCCCCACCGTGGCACTGCTGAGGTGGCTCCCTCAGGTGAGGATCAAAGCCCCTGTGCCCATCCCTGGGTCCCTGCTGTGGCAGGGCTGTGTCTGATGTCACTTTGTCCTTCTGTTCCCGCTCAGGAAGCAGCACGAGAGCGAGGAGGGCGAGAGCCACCGGCGCCACAAGCACAAAAAGAACAAGCGGAGCAAGGAGGAGAAGGAGGCCAGCGAGGACGGTGCCCAGGAAGGGGAGGAGCAGGACACCAAGGAGTGAGCCAGCCCCCCATCAGCCCTCGGCAGGAGCTCTCTCCTGTGGAACCAGCATGGAATTGGTGATGTTTTGGCTGGGGGTGATTTTTTTTTTATTATTATTATTATTTTTTACCTTTTTCCAAGGGAAGAGGCTGACTGGGCGAGCCATGGCACAGCCAGCAGTGCTTCAGGAGCTGAGGCTGCACGTGCCCTTAAACTTCCTTTTTTTTGTTTGTTTTTGATACAAGACAATACAGCAGTACTAGTTACAAAGCACTGAGCTACTCTACTCATCCACATCCCTAGGGAGAACTTTGGTGTATCAGATCCTATGGTTTCTGATGGAAGATGGCTTCAGCTGAAACTAACACAATTAGGTCATAGTTCTTGGTTCTTTTTGTCATCATCATTCCTTTTTGAGAACTAGGACAGTAAGTGCAACTTGAAATTTATTGTCCAAAGAACAGCGTGACTTAGATCCCAGGAGCCAGCTTAGAGTCTGGTGTCCAGTAGTGAAAAGTCTCATCCCCGAATAAATTTCTTTATAGCTACAAAAACAGCTTCTGATTTCTCCGTGGCCAGCTGGGCGTGTCAGGAGGAGCTGCAGGATCTGCTCCAGGTGGGCACAGAGGCCTGCCTGGATGTGACAGCTTCCAGAAGCTGCTGAGGGTGTTCACACAGCGTGTGCAGAGACTCCAAAACTGGTTTTTTTATCCATTGCAAAGGTAGTTCTGTCATGTTACACCCCTGCGCGGGGAATCAATGAAGATCCATAGCAAGAGCATGAATTTCTCTTTAATTCTTTTGACTTAACTATTTTATTTCGTTTTTTTTACTAAGAGTTGACTGAATAACCTAGAGTGCAGTAGAGAACACCAAGTCCCAGTTAGCAGTTTGCCCTCATGGGACTGGCGTTTCTATTTGGGTATCACCAACACTCCTGTCCAATGCATTCCTTTCCCTTAGATCCCAAAATAAATTTAGTCAAATTCCAAAGTTTCTTTGGATTTAGTATTGGTTGGGGAAGGGGCAACAGAGATGTTTCTGGGTGGGAAGAACAGGGGAAATAATTTTGAGGGGTTTTCATCTATCTGGTCATTAGGATCCTGCCCTTCTGTTTGTGTGCATCCACAAATGTCTCATTTTCCTTTGACTTGTTATTTAAAACTGTCTGGAACATTTGTCCTAAAATAATACGGTTCTGAAATGTTTTGTATTTTTTGGTATTGTAATCTTGGAAGTCTTGAGTGTGCTGGGAAGTGTCCAACCTATGCCAGGAGAGCCCTTTGGATTGGGTTCAACATCGTGACAGTGCAGTGATGGGTTTGTAACTGCAGAGCCCAGGGGAGGGGGAGGAGAACTGGGACTTCTGCTGGGTTTTGGTTTTCATGGAGTTTTTTAATGTGCTTGAGCTCCTGGGAAATGTGTGTGCACTGAGCCAGGGTTAGCTGGGATCAGGCTGCAGGCTGTTCCTGCCTCTGCAGCCACGGTGGAGCCCAGATTTAGGAATATCACTCACTGCCCCCTGGGCAGCTCTGCAAGCTGCAGCACTCCCAACTCCTGGCACTGGGTGTGCAGGGAACAAGGGAATCCTCCTGGCAGCTTCTCTCAGGGCCGGGCTTCAGCTGGGAGTGCCCAAAAGCTTTTAGGGGAATGGGATAACTTGAGAAATCCAAACCAGAGTGGTGAGGAGGATTCAGGAGTGCTCCGTGCTCCCTGGCACCGCACACGACAGAGGTGCCACCCTCCCCTGCAGAGCCCAGGCTTGGCCCGGGCAGTGCCAGCCTCCCTCGGGAGCCTGCACTGGGTTTGGTGGGGTGAGACGTGCTGGCTTTCCCAGCACAGGAGCTCTGGCCCTGCAGGGGCTGGCAGTGCCCCCAGCCCCCTCTGAGCTGCCTTTCCCTGCCTGAATCAGGAACGCTGCTCCCAGCTGAGCGGGGCTGCCCCCAAACCAGGACATTCCTCCCACCTTTGCACACTTTGTGCCTGGTGCCTCTGCAGGGGTGGCCAGGGCTGTTCACAGCCCTGACCTCCTGCACAGTTAATGATCACATCCAGGCTGCATCCCAGGTGGTGCTGTGGGACTGGGACTAGGGAATCCAGCATGGATTCAGTCAGGGCTGCACCTCCTCCTGTGTTATGTGAATGAGCTAGACCCAGGTCACAGAATATTCACAAATAGGGGCAGTCTTTTGGGGCCAGGAGCAGCTGTGATTTTGAGGTAAGTAGTTTTTAAATTGGCTTATTTTCATTTAATAGAGGTAAAATATTTGCCTTTACTATCAGGGAAATGTAAAGGTGGGGTGTTGGAAATAATCTCTACTTGGCATCAGGAAGCTGCTGCAGGTTTCTGGTGTTGGGATGTGGGGTTTACTGTTGTTGAGGGATTTTTCCCAGCCACAGTGTATTTCAGGATAGTCCAGCTCCTTTCCTGGGAGAAGCAAAGATAATTACACTGTTTCCTGCCACAGCCTCACTTTTTGGAGCAGTCTTGCTGAGGTGACCTGTTCTGGGGCCATTAGCTGCTACATGGAAAGAAAGGGTAGAAACCACACCTCTAATGCATATTTTTCAGCAATATTACAATAATTTATAAAGGCACGAAAACAAATTCAACATCTATTAACAAGCTGATTTTGGAAACAAAATTTAAATTAAGAGGACATTTTGGTGAAGTTGAAGGCACCTTGAAAGGAGATGGAGTAAAAATGGTTCTGCAGCCTCCTCCTCCCTCCACTGCCAGCCCAGCAGCTGCACAGCTCTTCCCTCCTGCCCTTTCCCCACGTTTGGGGCAGGCACTGGGAATCACCTTCTCTCTGTCCACATCAATATTTACTGTTCCAGGCACAGATTCTGCACATTGATTGGAAAGAGATAAAAAGTTGCTTCATGTTTTTGTGTCCCAGCGAGGTCAATGATGAGTTTTCTTTGGGGATGATTTTGCTCTCAGCATTGCCCAGTAGAACAGGAGAGCAGCCCTGGAGCCCAGGAAGCCCCAGCTGTGCTGTCAGAGCCCCCAGAGGTGCTCCTCAGCCCAGCCAAGGCTGCTGGGACAATGCAGCCCAGGTTCCTGCTGTGTCCTGGGCTCTGGGACAGGCCCTGCCCGCAGCTCCCAGCACAGGAGGTGAAGTCACTGTGTGTAAACAAGGCCTGGGGACAGCAAATGACAAATGCCAGCCCAGGAGAAGCTTCAGCCAGGCCCGGGGTCTCTCCTGCAGGGCTGCTACAAGGAATTAAACATTCATTCCAGGCAGCATTTGGACAGCAGGCAGACTCCTTGGATTCTTACAAAACTGATCCTGCAAAAGGTGCAGCAGAGGCAGCACAGGAGGAAAGATCTCTCAGTGAAACCTGGTTTGAGAAAAAAACCATCATTTCTACTGCTATTGCTGCTAAAAAAGGGAATTGCTTCAGGTGGAGCTTTCACAGTGTCAGAGGTCAAACCACCCTGCCTGGGCTTCAGTTCTTTAATTGTAAATTTTAACTGCACAGTGGGTTTGAACTGAAGCCGGGCTGGGCACAGTTTCCTTCTGGAGGTGACTTCTCCTGCAGTCAAGGATCCTCTGAGCTTCCCCTGATCCCTTAAGTTGATATTTTGCTTCAGCTGCAAGAGGGACGTGAACAGAACTGCAGGAGAAATCTCTGCTTCTGCCCCTGCCTGAACTCTGCCTTTCATCACTGGAAACAAGACAGGCAGCAGGCTGGGCCAGGGCTGTCTGATACCAGCCCATTCCCTTCCTCACCTTCCTTCTGGGGAAAAAGCTGCTAGTATCAATCCTAAAACCAGGGAAACTTGTGTGCAGTAAGCGAAGCTTACCCTTGACCTTTGGTAAAGTCACATTTTGCAACATCATATTTCAATGAAACCCCTCTTGCTGATACCTTTGAGAGTGGTTGAGCTGTTGAAATTGTCCCCTTGCAATGAATCAGTGGAGTTGGCAGGATCCTAAACTGGGATTTGTGCCAGGACCCTCATGCAGGTAACAGCTCCAGCAGGCCGACCCAACAGCTCTGAGTTATCCACGGGGTTTTCATGTTTTAACAGAGCCCTTGGGTTACTGACACCTAAAAATGAGGACTGGGAACTCCTGATAGAAGTGCTTAAATGGGGTCCCCCATCCTTACAGATTGAGTAGCTGCTTCTAAAAGCCTCTGTTTTAACCTGTGGAAAGCAGAGCCCTAAAATCAAGGCAAGGCTCAGCAGCCTCCAGGGCAGGTTGTGGAGAAACACTGGGAAAAGCTTTCTGTGCACCACCAATCCTAAGGAGCTTTAGTGAGCCTGGGAAGCTCCAACAACTGTTGGATTAACCCTTACTTTGAATTCAACATCTAGACTAGTTGGTAAAATGTTCTCCATAAAAAGGAAGCAAGGAGTCTTCCATGGCAATGCACCAGGAGCAGGAGTGGAGCAGTCCATTTCCCTGCCAGGTGTGGCCTGGGTGGTGCCCAGCTGCTGTGGGATAGCTGAAGTGTTGGGGGATTGTTGGAGCTGTCACACCAGGCTCCCTGGCCAGGACACCACGGTCAGGGTGACCTTGTTCCTCTGCTCCTTCAGCATTGGGATTAATTCTGAGTTGCTCATTCCTATTGCTGGCACTCCATTCACTGCCACGATTTCATCTCCACACCTGCCCAAAGAAAGGATCCAGTCAGGACTGGGTTCATTATTAACCCTCGGGTCACCCTGAGCCAAACCACCAACTCCTCCTTAAGAAACTTCTTCCTTTGAGTCAGAAAGGAAGGGCAAAGCAGAACCCTGCTGGTGCCTGGGTGACAGCAGTGAGGCTCAGGCAGCAGGGGAGTTGTGCTGGTGATGGCCCAGGTCAGTCCTGCAGCTCCAGGCACCGAGCTGCACAGCCACCATCAGAGCTGTGAGAGGGACCTGCCCCTTCTGAGGGGTGCAAGGGGCCGAGCCCCCCCAGCCCTGTCCCACACTCCAGCAGGAGCCCAGCTGAGCTCCGTGCTCCCACTGCAGCTCCGGGAGCAGACCCAGCTCCCTGCACCCCGCCGTGTCCCCTCCCTGTGTCTGTGGCAGCCCTTGGTGCCCGGAGCCAGCTCAGCACCCCGGAGCTGCCTGTGGGGTCCTGCAGCCCCACCCTGCTCCTCCCACCGGGCTCTCACCAACACCACCTCAGCAAAGCTCGAGTTAAAGGTCCTGCACAGGAGGGGCTTTTGTTGCTGGTGTTGGGATACTTTTCCTAATCCAAGAGGTTTTATAGTCTGGAACCTCCAAGATTCATCTCAGATATTCCCTTTCTACTTTTACCTAATTACTCAGTTAAACCCTTCACACTTAGGTTTTAAAGGGCTGTAAATTCCTTTTCCTCGCACCTTTATGGAGAAACCAAAACACTGCTTAACGCAGTGTTTAGTTTGTTACAAGTCTGGCAACGGTATGAACTTTCCAAGGAGTGCGAGACCGAGTCATTAACTTGGAGCTGAGCTCCTTCCAAGGGTCAGAGTCTGGGAAAACCCCCCAGCCCTGGTGGTGGTGATGAATCCCCGGGTACCTCACACCTACTTGAGTTTCCTGTCCCGGAATGCGGGAGTCCCGGGCACGATGGTTTTGATGAAGAAGGGTTGGTTTCCTTTGCTTTCCTCAAAGCCTCCCACGATGCTGAAGCCCCAGCTTTCCAGATTTCCTTTACTAAGGACAATATCTTGACAGAAGTGAAGGTAGCTGTGTCAAAACCAGAGAAGTTATGAGGAAAATTGCCTGACCAGGAATTTATGTTTTCCCTCATGGAAAGCACAGCTATGAACAGCCTCATTTTCCTGTTTTTTACAATTTGAGACACCCCTTTGCAAGGTGTGTCAGAGGGTTAATTCTCAAATAGGATCATGCCAGTCCTTTAGCAATCTTTTCTGAGTATTGGTTTAAGAGTTAAGAAGAAATCACCTGGCTCTAAAGGGGTTTGGGACCTGCAAAACTCCTGAATAACTTCATGAATTCTGCTAATGAACACCCACAGCACCAGTGACAAACCCAAATTCACAGTGACCAGAAGCTACAGCCATACAATTAATGAGAGTAGAGGGTTTTTATCCCCTCTGTGCACTGCACTGGTACAAGGAAGACTTTCAGCATCACTGGCAGCAAATGTGAGGTGCAGCAGCTGCCAGATCAGAGCAGGGAAGGGCTTTCCTGCAGGAGCCAGGATGTCCAGTTCTGACATTGGGCTCCTTGGTGGGAGCTCCCTGGATGCCAGCCACTGAGGTTTGTGTCTTAGGGAGCCTGGGCACTGAGACAGCAGTGCCAGCAGCACTGCCCGAGCTGGTGGCACAGAGCCCGTCACACAGGAGGTGTGGCAGGAGCTCTCTGTGCCCTGGCTCCCAGTCGGGCTCCAGCTCAGGTTATATCCTGGCACCAAGGAGCTGTGAAACTGCTGCTCATCATCGCCTGCTGAGCTATTCCAGCAGCTAAACTTTTCCTAATACACTTTTTTGCCTCAAGGGCTTTGCTTGAGCAGTTTGCCGAGGAGTTTCAGATTTCAAAAGCCTTCCCAGTTAACTTCTCACCAGGAGAAAGATCCAATTATCTACCTCCTAACTGTAATTTACTTTTGTAGGAGTTTTTCACACATAAACACCAGGAGACCCAGCTCAGCTTACTGACTCCTCCATGGTTTCTTTCCACCGGTACCACACAAAACACAGCTCTGAGCCATGTGGCAGCTTCTGCAAATGAATAGCCCCAAGAGCAACAGTGGCAAGGGCTACGTCAGCACAGAACATAAATAAAAACATCAGGCACGTTCTCCAGGAGCTGGAAACGGCTGTTTGCTAGGAATCTGTTTTCCATATTAAAAGGGGTTCTAGGAAGAGAAACTTGAACTTACCACACTCAAAAATGACTGTGGGAAAAGAACTGGAGAGTTTAGGGAAGGTCGAGGTGCAGGCTTTATGGTGCCAAGCACGCTGCTGAGCTGGCAGTTCCTGGTCCCTGCTGGAGCTGCAGCGGGGCCGGGACTGGGAGCTCCACATGGTTCTTGTGGGAAGAGTCAGACTGGGGTCAGATAAACCCCAGGGAAGAGGGAGGCAGGAAAACTGTTTTTCCATCCCCAAGACTTCTCCACATGCCACACAGTGCACTGTGTTTACAAGAAACAAAGGTTTTAGAAAAGATAAACAATCTAAACTTTTGTTTCTGGTACCTTTGGGATCCAGAGTCTGTTGGATTAGAACATGGGCCCAGTCCAAACCAGCTTTTGAGATGGTGTTTTATACTATCAGTGGTGTGTATTTAACACAATGCTAGGAAGAAATCAAAGTTTCTGTTTGACAAAAAACAGAAATCAAGGGTACAAGAATCAAGGCCTGAATGAACACTGGGTGCTCAAGTGTTGCAAGGATCAAATTCACTTCCCTAGCCCTGAGCACTCATTTCAACTCACGCCTTTCAGCATTGAGTCTGGATTCAAACTAGAAAGAAATACATTCCTCTAAAAAGATATTTCTGCTGGAGCAGAGGAGGAAGAAAAAGCTGAACAAACCCAAAGCTGCACTGCAATTAGCTTTGAGCTTTCACCTTGCAGGACCTATGAACACAGTGAGGCCAGGGCAGCCAAAAGGAGCAGATCCCAGTGGAACAGCTGGTGCTGGGTCCAGTTTGGGCACATTTCTGGGGTTTTCTGTGTCAGTGGGGTGCACACAGGGTCTGGCAGGGCCACAGTGCAATGGACATTCCCCTGCAGCACTGGGGGTTTGGTCCTGTGCAAAGGAAACCAGTTTGGGTGGGTCAGGAGCTCTCTGCACTGGGAACCACAGCACAGCAGGTGCTGGCACTGGGATCTCACTGCAGCTGCACCTCCCTGAGCCAGCCTGAAGTGCCAGAGGCACCTGAACATGCCCAGGTGACAAACACGGCTTCTGTGGGTGACCAGCCAGTGGCCACCAGGTCTCACTGGGAGCAGATGGGAAAAGGAGGGAGGAAGCACAGGAATTACAGCCTTTTTTAGTGCTGGACACGGGAGGAAGATTCTGTCAGACCTCAAAGTGGAATGACCTTGCTGTGTGCCTCCTACCAACCCTCACAGCCATTCCAAGGCCAGAATTCAGGCTGGAGTAAAAGGAATCTGGAATAATTTCTTGCTTTGGGAGTCAAAAGAAGGGGGAACATCAATACCAGCAGCAAAGGAATTTCCAGCAATGCATTAAATGGAGGTGATGTCAGGACACTCCTGAAACCAAGGCAGGAGATCCAGGAGCAAAGACTCCAATCCCTGCAGCAGAGCGTGGGGAAGCTGCAAGTCACCTGACAGCCAGAGAAGTTGGGAAAGGAAGAAAAGAAGCCCAGCCAGGTTTTGCCTTGCTGTAGGTGACTGCAGCAGCAGCTCAGGGAACAAACACCAGGCAGCATCTGAGGGTTTGTGCCCTGGTTTGGGCTCCCCAGGGGCAGCTCAGGGCCAGCTCACACCAGACCTGCCTGGAGCAGCCAGGCCAAGGCCTGGGGGAGCAGAGGGAGATGGGAGGAGGTGCTGAGCACAGGCCAAGTACAGGAGACACAGAAGCTGCCTTTCCTTGGGCTGGTCTGTTCAGCATTTACAGGCTGCTAAGTAACACAACAGAGGCTTTGTGAGTGTTCTTCTTTAGGTGTCTCAATGAACAAGGCTGTAAATGATCCAAGCTTCCCACAGCAGGTTTGGCTTTATGTTCCACCTGCAGATGCTCCTGCGGTCAGCTGGGATGGCAACTGGCTCTGCTTTTCACAGTGTTTTGATGTAACTGAAGGGAGGGAAATAGAGGTTCACCTCTCTAGGAAGGCGAGGGAAATTCAAGCTTTTCTTGGAACTTAAAAACCTGTTAAAACCTGTGCTGTAAAGCTTGGCAGCAGGAAAACTCAAGTGTGCAGAATCATTTCTGCTTCATGCTGAAAATGACACAGTTAAAACAGGCAGGAAGAGTCAGACTGAAAGAATGTGTGCCCCTAGATGGGATGATCAGGTTGGAAATTCCCAGACAGCCCAGGTGTCTCTTGGCTTGTGTTAGGGGATGCAGAAAGAGCCACAGAGAGATTTCAGTCAGTACTTCAGCAAGGACTGCATCTAACATTGACTATTTCTCTTTTTAAAGGGGGTTTCAGGGCTTCTAAAGCATGGTTACTGTCCAACAAGAGTGTGGGAATGATGGGTCACTCCAGAAAAACAGTGGAATTTCCTTATGTACTCACTATTCTATGATCTCATTGGTAAATGAGGCTTTTCACTGCCTTTCAGCTAAACAGGAATACCAGGAATGCTTCCAAGTTCATCACGAAAGTAATTAATTTCTAGTGTTTGAGTGAAAGTCAGCCCTGTAATTAACAGCTCTCCATCCAGTCCCTGACAAACATACCTGGGCAATCCAAGCCACGTGATCCAGAGGGGAGACCAGCTGAATCCCTGCTCCCTGATGTCCAGGGATGGCTCTGGGGAGTTCAGGGAGAGGATTTCCAAGGCTTTCAGTGTGACTGAGTGGGACGCTGCATTGGATTTCAGAGCTGAGACAGCCTCATAGTAGTTCAGATGAGTCAAATCAATGCCATTTATGCTCAGAAGCACATCCCCTGTTGATGAAATAAAATGGGATTATTACAGACCTTTGGCTATGGACCCCATTGTAGCCTCAAGGGGTCATGGGAGCCCTGTTTCCAGCCTCTCTGTGTGTCCAAGTCCAGCTTCCACTGAAAATACCACACAGTTCCTACAGGATAAAGGGTCTAAGAACCTCCCTTACCTCTCTTGATTCTGCCATCCCTGAAGAGGCATCCAATGGGCTGCACACTTGTCACATAGATTGGGAGCTTGTTTTTGTTATCCCTTCCACCTCCGATTGTGATTCCCAAAGATTCCTTTGGCTCCTTTTTTATTGCAACTGTCTTCTCATGACTTACATATCCCTGAGGCAAATCCTACAAAGCAATGACAGCACAAAATGCAGCTTCATTAATGCATTTAACAGAATGCCCAGCTCTGGAAGACAACAACATCCAGAGCATTCCAGCAATATTGCTGGAGGGCAAAGTCAGCTTCCCATGTCCCTGCTGTGGGTGGGAAAACAGAGCAGCATTTCTAAGGTGAACCCTCAGTGCTGTCCTCATGATCCCAAATCCATTTGCTGCAGGGAGATGCTCCCTCTGAGGAGGAGAATTTTGCACTGAGGAACAAGCTATGAGCTCATCTCAAGGCTGCTCATGCCAAGCAATGAAGCTCTCCTTGATTGAATGTTTAGGTTGCAGTGAAGGCACACATTAGAGCACAGCTGTACAACAGGGTGTAAATGCTACTCGGGGATTTAAATGCAGGAACAACACTCCAGCCACAAAGGACAGCAACTCCCTGAGCTGCAGGGACACTGAAACACACCACTGAGCAGCTGCAGCAGGTTTGTCACTCAGCTTGAAGTTCTACACACAGATTACCTCTCTGGGTTCAGCACACTGGGGATTGTCCCCTTGCTCCTGCTGTTTGCTGTGCCCCACAGAGGAGTGGCAGACCCACAGTGAAGTCACAGCAGCACCACGGGGCCACCTGGGGATTCTTCTCCTGGACCATTACGGCCTCTGGCTCCACACCAGCTCAACTGGGTGTCACTGCAACACCCTCAGTGTGTGGGGCTTGATGGATGTCAAGAAGCAAATCCCAAAATATCTCACGGATGGCAAATTTCTTATTGTCCTTTCCAGACACCAAATGATTAAGCACCAGCCCTGCATCAACACTGCCCCAAACCTGCCCAAGCAGAAGTGGAGGTGCTGATCAGCCTTCTGTGATAAAACACCATCACAGAACAACACAATTTGCTAAACCAGGAGTAAGCAGCACCTTGGCCTCATTTCCCAGCCCCACCTTCTGGTAGTTGGATTTTCGTCTGTAGTGGCTCTGGTCTGGTCGCCTCCGGTGATGCACTGGGCTGCCCCCATTGCTGCTGCTGCTGCTGCTGTTGGAGGTGCTGCCATCCTCCACTGGCTCCCCCAGCTGCACCCCAGACTGCCTCAGGATCACAAAGTTCACTCTGGATTCAGTGGTCTGCCCAGAGGAACAAGGAGTGGAAATTAAGACAGAAAAATGGGTTAGAAATGAGGGACAGCCCTTACTGCCTTGGGGAGAGAGAAGGGCTGGCATCAGTTCCTACAGAGGTTCTCCAACAGATCCTCAGTGTCTTTTGTGATGAGCCAGGGAATGCGACTGGAAGAAGAAAAAGGGAATTAGCAAAACTGAGTCAGAAGGAACAGGAGTAGAGGCAGGCTTCACTCGTGCCTCCCTCCCCCACAAATGCCAAAGAAGAGAAGGTGGAAAGGGATGATTAATTCCTGCACTTTGGTACAAAGAACCAAAACAGCATCTTGTGTTGTGCTGCAGAGTGAACAGAGCTGGACCCCTGGCTGGTCCACACACAGTGACCACGACAAGCACTGGATGCCTTCATTGCATGGGAAGTTGTTAAAGCTCTTGCCCTCCCAGCTCTGTTCATCTATTGTTCACCATCTCCCATCCATTTTCCCCCAGAGTACCTCTGGTTAAACACTTGACCAGCTGCTTGTCTGGCCTTGGCAGCGCTGCAGGGGAAGTGCTCCCATTGTTCCTGCTGCCCTCGCTGGGTTTGTTCCTTCAGATCACCTGACAGAACCACATTGTGAGGGACTCACTCATGCTCACTCGAGGCATTTCCTGCCCTGCATGGCAGAAATGCAGTTGCTGCTCTCACTCCCACAGGATCCTGCTTCCCTGGTGTCAGAGTGAATTCCCTGGCCTTGAAGAGGGAGTCTTTAAGTCACATTTAAGCAAGGATTTCAATTGGCCCTCAGAGGAAGAGATCATGTTTGGAAAACTGTCACAGTTTTACACAAATGTCATTTCCAAAGAGATTCAACCCCCAAACCTCATGAAGCCAGTTCTGAGAATTTTGTTGCTGGTTCCAGTGGGATCAAAAGAGTTTCTCATATGGGAGTTGTGTGTGCACATTGCAGCAGGAATGCAGCAGCACTTGTGGGATGCAAACAAATTTTAAGAGGCCACAGAACGGAAGCACATGAAAAAGGACCTCAGCACTGGAACTCTGCTCTTTCTCCCATGGCACTGCACTTCTCTGATAACTGTGAAGAGAACGGGCTCTCCCTCCTGCTGACCTCACATCCTTTCTGGGATATAAACAGAATGGGATGAGGTGCATTGTGTCAGGATCTGCAGATAAAAACACAAATTGGAGGCACTCGCCTGGGGAGATAAAGAATTTAAACTGATCTGTTTGATATCTGCTGCACATGCAGCAACCCTTAATCCTTTAACTAGAATTCCTGGCCCACTCCTTCCACCAAAAAGTCTGGCATGCTGCAACAGGAGCACATTCCACAGGGAAAGACCACCCCTCTTCTATCCTTTCAGTATCTTGGAATGCTTTTAGCCTGAGGTGTCCCACATCATTCTCCAGCTCTCTTCACAAACACAGGTAAAATAGGGAGAAAGGGCTTCATATCAATCCAAAGGGATCTTTTCTGTATTGCCAGCCCATCCCATCTCTCAGCCAGCACCTTCAGTGTGACTTGAACACACAGGAGGCTGCTCTGATCCCTCCCTGTCTGCTGCATGAATCCACACAGTGCATCCCAACATTCCCTCTGCAAGGCTGAGAGGCTGCAAACACTGCACAGGAGCTGCAATCTCCTCAGGTGAACTCCTGTGCCATGAGCCACTGCTTCCCCTCAGACCTGTCAGGGCTGACTCACCACAGATTCCCACTCTTGGTGTTTATCTTCATTTGGGAATGGTGCTTCCCACACGTCCAGAGAGGCGTCACTTTCCATGAGAGAGATTTTGGGAATGCAGCTTGCCCTGGTGTGTTCTGTTAGCCCTGGCTCAGAACAGGAGCCCTGCCACCAGCCACTCACAGCCTCTCCATGTCTGAACTCACCTGGATTATCTGGGCAGCAGCCTCAGGAGTTCCTTGCCTCAAATCCTGGCCATTTATTGAAAGGACTCTGTCATTCCGACTCAGTTTCCCATTTTTGGCTGCCAAGCCTCCCTCTAAGAGATCCAGAATAAAAATCCCTGCCTCGTCAGTCTTCCTGATCAGTTTGATTCCCAAGGGCTCAGATCGGTCTCTCTTCACCAAGGTGACATGGATCACTTCCCGGGCTGGGGAAGTGGAATCCTGCTGTGCAGTCTTGTTGGAAAAGCCCTTCTCCTGCAGGACCATGAGGTGGAGAACAGGGCCTGGGTGGCGCAGGAAGGAGACAGCCTGGCAGTGAGTCACGCTGCTGATGTTGACGCCATTCACCTACAAAGACAAACAAAGCACTCACTAATCAGAGCCCACATTAATTAGGCACTGTCCACAGTGTGGGGCATGGCCAGGCTGGAGCAGGATGGAAAACTCCCTGTGCAATCTCTGACTCTGATGCACATTAGGAAGCAAAGTTTTCTAAAAAAGAATGAAGAAAGCTGATGGAATTAAGACTATAATTGGTGAATAACAGAGGACAGGGACAAGACAGTACAACCCACACAGCTAACAAACCTAAAAATGTTCAGACATTCCTTCCATGCCATGTAAATACAAATCTGATTTTCCTTAATTTCCAGTATTCAGCACAGGCTTGGAGAAGACCCACATCTCCACTTTTGAGTGGTCCATAGTTTACAAGCTTCTGGAATCATCCATCTAATTATGCTTTTACCAGGGAGCCTGAGAAGGCAACATTCTGCTTTGCCTGTTGTCACATTAGATTCTCTGCCTTTTAGGATGTTAACAGGGCTCCTAAGTGTAGGATCTGCCCTATTTGCTGAGACATGGACAATCCAACTGGATAAAACAGGAGTCACTCCATTGGTCCACCTGAGAAACCAACTTGGAGATCTCATCAGCCACTTGTGTGGGGGCTGCCAGCCCTTCCTGATGCCCAATCCCATGGGACAATAAGGATTTATGGCTTGGCAGATGATTGGGCAGCCATGGCTGGAGGTGCTAAAAGTTGTCACCATGTGTACAAGGTGTCACCTCGGTCACCCAGGGCCACACAGCCCTGCCAGGGTGGGCAGTGCCCTGGCTGTGGGTCAGGCAGGGGCTGGGACTCTGCATTTACTCACATTTTGGAGCTGATACTCACTGCCAGTCAGCAGCTCTCACCTTAGACCTGCCCATATGCAGCTTAAGCAACACAGTAGAGCAAGCAGTTATGAGACTTCCTAACTAGAGCAGAGAAATGGAGCTGCTGTGTGAAATATATCAGGTAGGAATCTTTTACTTTATCCAAAACGGCCTAAATTTCATAAAGCTGTCAAATATGCAAGAGAAACATGAGTCTGACTGGAAGGAATGACAAAAGTGCTCCTGAGCCCCAGCAGACACCCTATGCTGCTGACACAGAGATCAGTGCTCTAAAACCCTCAGCTGCAGAGATTTCCCAGTCTTTCCAGGCACTCTCCTGCCCCAGTCAAGGGAAGCAATGGGGCTCCCAGGGGGTTTCCCTACCTCAAGGATGTGATCTCCAGGAGCAATTCTTCCATCAGCAGCAATCACAGAGTCCCGCAGCACTTCCTGAACCACGATGTTCCCCAGGGGGGTGTCCTTACCCCCAACTATCCTCATCCCCAGCTCTTCCTCCGGATCTTCCCGGTGGATTTCGATGGTTGTAGTTTCAGCCACAAGACTGGTTCTCTGAGGAAGGTCTGGTTGTGGAAATGAAGAGAACAACACATGAACAGAATTTTCCTTTCCACAGCACCCCAAGATTCAAACCCCTGGCAGGCTGTGCTCAATGTAGCATCTGGAGGGAAAGCAGCTATCAGGAGACCCAAAGTCACATAAAAAGCTTTAAACCCCTCTGTTTCTTTAGAGTTTCTCCAGAATTTTTCCCATTTTCTCCTAGCTTTTGCTGAATTCAAACTCTTTATTGTTTTTGCTTGGGATTTATTAAAAGGCATTTAATAAAGTTTGGCTATATTTAGAGATTTATTTTTCTCCTGCGATAGCTGGCCTGATAGAAGCACACACATAAATTCCAGTTTCCATGATGCCCATGAGGGAAAGGGATTTCCCAGCTGTAATTACTGCTCTGCAACTTCCTTCCTCTAATTTCCTTTGCTCCCCTTTTCCCATCCCCCCTGTAAAACAGGAGGAATGTTTGGCTGTTTCACAGCATACTGGAGATTAAGCAATGGTGCACTTTGAAGAGGAAAGTTGCTGTTAGCAAGTGGGCTGAGATCTCCCAGCACTGCCTGGCAGGGTGAAGGGCAGGTGTCACACCAGGGATGCCAAACCTGCTCCAGGTGTGCTTTGGGAAAAAGCCAACAGGGAACTGCACTGACCTGTGAGTTACCTCTGTCCCAGGCACAGGGGCTGGAAGTTGAGCCTAACTTTGAGACAAGGCACTGAGGTTTTTTCCACGCTGCTGCCTCCTACCAAGCTGAAACAAGTGCTGCTACACTGAAGTGGAGATGGTGATTTGATCTGCAAGGCTTCCAGAGCTGCCTGTTAATCAAAACCTAACTTATGCTAGAAAAACACAGGAGGGAGGGACTGACCACTCCAGGAAACTGACTGTATATTTAACTTTCCTAACAAGATTAACAAGAAGCTGGAACACTTCCTAGTTACTAATTATCTGGCTTCTGCAAGGGCTTTAAGTGCTCCACGTTCACATTGACAGGGACTGCCTTTGTTTCTCCACAGAATACTGCAAATACCCACTGCAATCTCGCAGAGTTTCTCCAAATGGTTTTGTGCAGTTTTGTGCCCGTGAGCAGACTCTGCCACCCCTGATGCACATGAATGCATCTCCCTTCTGCTGCAGGAAGAGATGCTCTGATGACTACTAATGGCTGAGTAGCATTAAGGATATCTGACAGTGCTGGGGGCACTTAAAATTGAATTTTCTGAGATAATTGCCTCATTTGTATATCATGAAAGGTAAATACATAGGTCCACTTCTGTACCAAACTCTCACCTTCTTCAGTCTCCTCAAAAGCTGGATTAACCAGTCCAGGCTCTGCAGTCCCCAGTGACACCACAGCAGCTCCAGAGCTTTCTGCCACAAGTGAGGAGCCTCCGCTTGGGAGCTCTGGGTCCTTGGGCGTGTTTGTCTCCCCCTTGGCAGGAGGCTCCTCCCTCCCTTTGGAAACGGGATTCCTTTTCCGCTGCAGTTCAGATCTGTATTTCTTAAACCCAGGACACCTGGAGAGAGATTGGCAGGGACTGTCAGTGACTGTCTCTGCCTGGGCAGGCGACACAGCACATGAAAGCTCTGACAAACCTGTGGGAAGAAGCTGGTTCCAGATCTCACCAGTGCAGTGCTGGTTTCTCAGATGATAAAAGGATTCTCATTTGACCTTCAGTTTCTACTAATACAAGTATCAGCTTAAGTACAGTTATTTCACCACTTTTGAAACTATTAAGCAAATTATTTGAAAAATAAGAATGTAATAGAAACAGGAGTCTCCTTTGCTAAATATTTACCTGGCAAACAATCCATAAAGAAAACAATCCTTCTTAAATAGAAGCAAATACTGAGCTCTGACGTTGTAGAGATCACTATGAACTGTACCTTGATACAAAGAAAGTGGCTCAAGTTTCAAGCTCAGCCTTGAATTAGGCTTTGTTTTAACAAACCAGCTACGCACAAAAGCAGCAAGTGAGGATTGGGCATTTTGTTGTGGAATGAGACCTGAGCCTGGACCTGGTGCACTCCCAGTCCATGCAGGTGATGGCTCTACCTGAAAGGGAGCAACTGAATTCCTAATCCCACTGACTGCTCCCCACACGTCCCAGAACTGGGATGTAAATGTACACACAAAACGTGCCCTGCATGCAGATACATCACCAGCCTGTCTCAGCACTAATGGGTGAGGAAGAACAGCTCTTTTATCATGAGTATTTATAAAAAAGGTGACAGGTGAGGAGGTGATAAATGCAAAAACATCATTTTCAGAGACATGAGTAGTACTGGCTGTTTACCAGAGTCACTTTTCAAATTAATCAGAACTATTTACACTCTGGCTAAAGAAGTCTCATCCCAGTATTACTTCCTCTGGTTTATTCCTACTCATTTATTCTCCAAGCAGTAAAATAACCCTGAACTTAATGACAGAAGCTGAATGATTCACTTGTGCACATGTCTGTCTTAAGATATCAAAACACAAATTCGATTTGCAAAAGGCAGGGAAATCCTCCAAGAAAATAAGTTACTATGTGCTTCTTATGTCCTTAAATCTTCTCCTATCAATTAATCTCACTTAAAACAAGAAAACGCCCAAATCCCAGTACAATTTTTTATCTGTTTTTTTTTTTTTCCTATTTTTCAGTCTGGCTGTGCCCACAGCCCAGGTGAAATAGCCTTGAATCTTAGAATATCCTGTCCCCAAGAAAGATACAAACAACTGTGGAATATAGAAGAGAATGATACAGTTTCCAGGCAGGTCTCTAATGTAAATATCTCAGGTGCCTCCCTGATGTGTAACTCCTGTGCCAGAGGGATTACAGAGTGACAGGAGTTTACTGATAGCAGGGCAGATTTGCAGGGAAGAGGAAGGCCCAGCCCTGGCATGAGCCATGGCCCCAGCCCGGGCAGTCAGGACAAAGGGCTGCTTCAAGGAAAAGGAGATTATAAACTTTCACTGAAGGGGAAGGGGCACCCAAGCACCTTCCATCCTTTCCCCTGGCTCTAACACAAGCTCTCAGCTCGTGGGGACTGAAGGCAATGAAAATCACAAGGGTACATCCTTGGCTGGAGCTGCAAAGATATCTTAAGTGCACCTATTCCCTGTTGGCTTATTTTTAAAATATGTCATTGCCACAACAAACTACAACACAGCTGAATGAAACAAGCCTGTGGCATTTCTCATTGCTGACAAATACACCCTGCCAAGGAAGGTCTGTTCCACCTGCAGCAGGGCTTGCACTCAGCTCCCCTCCCTGCAAATCATTAACCCAGTAGGAACAAGGGTTCTCCACGCACCACAGCAAGAGCTCTGTCACCTGCACTCCTTTTAAAGTGACAATAAAGTGCCTGCCAACAGCTCAACCAGCACTGAAGCACCAAAAAGTCTCCTTCTACACAAGAGGAACAGAAAAACACAGAGTAATTTTCATTTGCTTCTCTTTCTCAGCAAAAGAATGAGAGAAGATAATGGAATTATAAGTAGGTGTTTCAACAAGTGCATAATGTGCAGCTTGGAGGGACTTGCACTATTTGAATCAAAGACTCATGTATTGCACATCTTAATTGGACCAATTAAAACTGGCAGCACTGCACAATCCCTTACTTTCAGAGCCTTGTCTTTGTGCCTTCCTTCTCTGGGAAGGGAAACTGAAGGGAACAAGGGAAACAAGAATAAGCTTGTTTGTGACAACTCCAGAGCTGGTGGCCCAGTTCAGGACCCACAAATGTCTGGGTGTCTGACAGGTTTAGCATCTGCAGACAGGATGAAGCTGAGCAGCTCAGAGCACACACACAATTACACTGTCCTCACCCACCCACCTCTGCAGCCTCACCCTGGCATCTCTGGTGTCCCACCTTGCCCCAGTTTAGGAAGCTGCTCTGAGAACGGGTGGTTCTGATAAGCAGCACAACAGCCCTGGCCATAACAGGATGGAAGGGGAATGCACCTGTTCTGCAGGTGAGCTTCCAGCTCACAGCGCTGCATGGTCTGCTGGCACTCAGCCTTGAAAGGACACAGCACAATCAGCTTATCCAGCAGGTTCCTCACCAGCAGGCTGGACTTGTGGCACTGCTGGAAGGAGAGCTTCTTGCGATCCATGGGACAGAAGTTGTACTCCTGCATGAAGTTCTCCAGGCACTTGAAACAGTACGTGTGCCCACAGGGCGTGTCCATGGGCTGCAGCAGGGGCTGCAGGCAGATGTGGCAGATGAGCTCGTCGTCCACCTCGTCCTGGAAGTTGTACAGGTGATTGTCCAGCAAGGGGTGGGCCTGGCCACACTCACAGCACAGCTCGGGGACTTGGGACACATTTTCCTCAGTGACGGGGTCAGCCATGGCAGCCAGCACCAGGGAGGAGATTGTCACGCAGCAGCTCTGCCACAGACCTTTGTGGAAAGGAGAGAGAGATTTCCAGCCTGCTTTAAATGCAGCCAATTAAAAATTAAACTGAATTCCTGCCCTGAGCTTCCTCCCCCAGAATCTGCGGCCCCACTTGACCCCCCCAGGGCTCTTCCTTCCAGAACCACCCTGTGAATGAACAGCCCAGGGACCAGAGGATGCAAGGACTTCATTCAGCACAAGGTTTAAGCACGTGGATAAACTGAGGCTTAAACTTTAGACACGCCAGAGACAGACTATGTAAGCACTGCCCAGCACAGGGACTAGAAAAGCTGAGACAAAAACTGCATGTTCTTGAGGGAGAACAACCCAGAGAGGGAAGGGAAAGGAAGGATACACAGGACATCACAAGACACATTTTTAAACTTCCTCTGGCTTCCCAGATTATACCAAATTTTTAAAGACATGTGTGGTAAAAAGCCAATTTGGGGACTTCTGGTTGTTAGGATTTTTGTTTTGTATTTGGGGGGGAGGGGGGTGGGAGGATGAGGCAAAAGAAGAGGAATAAATTTCAAAAGAAACTTAAATCTAAACCACATTTCCTTCCTTTCAAGCCCACTCCCTTCAAAAAAAATGTTTTAACAAACAATGCATTGTTCCCCACTCATCCATGCCTAAGTTCCCCCATGGAAACAAATTTCCTATAAAAAGACTAAAGCTTCCTAAGTGGAAAAAATGTAAAGAATAGTCTACATCATTTGTTGCAAGGTTAGAGAGAGGATTGAGCCTCAGCTCCTTTCAGCAGGGAGAGCAGGATAAGGGACAAACTGAGTCCTTGTAGCTGCTGCTCTGATTTTAACAGAAATGTCTTCAGTCATATCCATTTTGAATCTTGCCTGTTGTAATTAAATACAAAATTCACTTGAGTTTCCTAAGAGATTACAGGCACAGGGATGACTGCAGGGAGGATTTTTTAAACCTGGCAGTTATTTTAATGAAGTAGGAAATGTGGTATTAAAGGAAGCATCTACATTACACAGTGGGGGGGTGTTGTGGTGTTTTGAGGAGCTTGTGATTGGTGGGGTTTTTAAAGTAAAGAATCCCAGACTCTGAAAACAAAACCAAAAAAAAATTGCAAAACTGATGAAATGGAAAATTTCTGAAAGATGGTGTGGAAAATACCTGAAAACAATGACTTTATCTGGAACAGGTAAGCAAGAGGGAACACTGGTCTGCACCAGTGCCTGGAGGACACAGCTGGCACGCAGCAGAACTCGGGAGGAGGGTAGACAAGAACAATAAGATAGCAGGAATGGCAAGAAAAAATTAGTCATGGGTTTCTAATAAAAGTCATACATCACTCCAATTAATTGTCAAGGTAAGTCAGCTATTTAATTAAAGGAAGAATGTATCACCAACAGAATCAGCCATTTCACAGGCGAATTCTTCCCCAGACATAGGAACTTGTTCACTTCAAAAGATTAAACATTGCTGCCACAGCTCCAGGTGGGTACAACAGGAGTTATTTGCTCCTCTCTACCCTGCTGCAGTGCCAAGAAAGCATCTTCCCTTGAGGGAAGCACTCAGGCTGGGTGAACATCCCTGACTCTTCTGTTTGCATTCCCTCCTTAACTCCTGCATGGCTGAGTCAGTGCCCCCAGAACAAAGCACAGCTCTCAGACAGCACCCATGGAAATGAAAGCTGGTGTGTCCATGGTCCCCTGTCTCAGAAATCCTGCTGTTTGGTGCTTGCCTCCACCTGAAACAGGCAGCCCTTCTGTTTGCCTTTTTGCCAGCCCTCAGCTGATCTGGAACGATCTTACAGGTGCAAAAGGAGCATTTCAACATCAGACCATCACTTAACATCTCCTCAATTCTAATCAATCAGCTCAGCACCACCAGTTAATGAAACAAGGAGCTTCCAAGACAAACACTATTAATCAGAAATACTTGTGCTTCGGGTTGGACTATTTGCATAAAACTTTGGCAGGTGATGAAACAAATCCACGTTCTTAGCAAAAACAAACCTCACAGTAATTTTACTGATAAACTACTTTTATTGGGTTTTTTTTCCAGATTATCAAATTCATTCTCTGCTCTGTGTTTAAAGGTTACACAAGATGAATCCCAATGATGAGTAATTTCTGAGTAATAACTTGTGGAAGATAAAAGTGTCACCAAAATTTTGCTGCTCCAAGCTGATCTGCTGTCTCACCTCCAGATCTTGAAAACAAGGGGTGAAGATTTAATTTAATGCCCAGGTGAATTTTACTTTTACACCACTGTCCCTTCAATAAGGAGGACACTCCTGCAGACACCAGGGAAGCCAAGGCTGACACCTCTGTGTTGAAACCCAGCCCAGAGCCTTGGGCAAGGCAGGGCTGAGTGAGCAGCACAGGGAGGGCAGCAGGCTCAAACAAGCCTCCCTTGCTCAGGGACTCTGCACAAAGCAGAGCTTCTGCAAGGGAAGAACTGCTAAAATCTCATCCATCACAGTTGTTGCTGCAGCCCAACAAGGCACAGTTGAAATGTGTAGAAAATCACTGTTTCATCATAACAGGCCTGGCTCCCCTCAGCTTCAACGAGCCACTCTCAAAAGTCAGTCCAGAGAGCCCATTGGATTCCAGCTTTGGAGGGGAGTTTGATACAAATTCAATCCTTTGCAATCCAATCTCAGCTCCTCCTTCTAACCTCCAAAGGCCAGACCAACCTAACCAACCCCTCCATCCCTGTGTTGCTCTTTTTGTTCCATCATTCCCTACTCCCCAGCTTCCTTCCAGCACAGGGTGGCTCCTTCCCTGCTGCCTTTCTCCAAAGTACTGGAATCTCTCCGTGGCTTTTCACTCGCATAAGGAGGGAATCACAACATCAGGATCTAGCTTGGTCCCTGGTTACTACACACTGACTGCATGGAATTGTTAAAGCCTGACACTGCTGCTCTAAAAGGGTAATACAAGAAATGCCTCTGGAGTCAGAATTATTTGGAGAGTAAGACACCCCACCCCTATGCATAACAAAGAATTGAAGGAAATAGACCAGCAGAAATCTCTTTATATTTCCTAATTTCTTATCCCATAAGGATTTCTTTGGGATCACTTTATCTTTACTGTATTTTTAAAAAATCAGAATATCAGTGCTGGCATTTTTTTTTAAGTAGGATTCCTGGTACTGTAACACTGTCTCAAAGACTAGACTTTTTTTTTTTTTTTTTTAATGACTTATCAGGTAGTCTAATCTGTATTCCTGCCAAAGCAAGACTATTCCTGACAATATTAGCACATTGCCTATTCTTGTTTTAGCTCTGCCAGAGCATCAGATCTGCCCCCCCTGCACATCTACAATCCTGTTAATAGCTCTGGGAGGGGTCTGCCAAGAACCACACCAGCACTGAAAACCTCGGCACCATTCCTGGTGGGCAAACTGCTCATTCCCTGCTCAGCAGCTCAGACTTGGAAACAGAACTGATGACTCACTTCTACAGCTTGAATAAAAAAATGCTTTTTTAAAAAAGTGTGATTATCTAAGAAATCTTCAAATCTTCCCAACCCCGTGCCTCCACTTGTGCTGTGACTGAGCAGGAGCTGTGCCTGTGGTACCTGGCTACACAAGAGCAGCATTCCAGCTTCCCAGCTTATCAACAGCATTCCCAAACAGCTCTGGCTCCTGCTTTTAAGGCATTTCACTGTGCCACTGTTAGTGTGGAGCACAAGTTCTGTTCAAGCCAAGCCTGTCTGCTCACATAATTCCAGCGTTTGGTACGAGTGAATTTTGGCCATAATGCATGTACCTGAATTTCATTTCTTTGAGGGGTAACATTGCTGCTATTCTCATTTAAAAACTGAGAAATTACATCACCAGAGGTTCAAATAGACCCAGAGAGGCAGCAGCTCCTGGGAATTTAACACTTTGTTATGGCTCTGAAGAGGATCTAAGGCCACATAGGAAACTCCTGGGGAAAAAGAACAATCCAAACAAAAAATAATAAAATCAAGCCTGTTTCTATTAACAAACTGATTTCTAAAACCATAAATATGGTGAGTAAGCAGATCACATTCCATATTGCAAAACACAGAACCATGCAGCCAGTCTGCAGCAAGGACACAGAACACAAGTGTAAAGTTCTTCCTGGAGGATAAGGGTGACTAGAGAATATCTCAAACAGCTGAAGTTCAGAAATAATTTTCAAAAAAATCATCAAATAATTGGTTCTCAATATTAAAAAGAGAGCTGTGTAATGGGAAATACTTTAGAAATGCCATGGCTTATACTTTGGGGCAGCTGTAGGTTAGCACTAACATGGAGATAAAAATATTGGGTTGAAAACCCAAATAAAAGCTGGTTTGGGGACTGTGGGACACATGCCCCATGTCTCCTGCTATGGAACACTTCACTGCAATAATTATGTCAGTTATTATATTTATAACAGCATTTCCCTGGGAGACTGGAATTGCAACATTCCAACTAAAGGCTAAACAATTAATTAATTTTTTTGGGGGTGGACAAAACAAGCAAGCACAATCTGGGTGAAGATGGCTGAGGGCACACACCAGCAGGGCACTGACCAAACCTAAAACCAAGTTCCAGATGGATTCTGATGGAGCAAACCCAATCCTCTAGAAATAAAAGGGGCAGAGCTTTTTCTCAACTTTCTTCAAACCATTTTAGTCAGTTAAGAAGTTTGTGTTTCACAGAATGGCATTTTTTTCCATTCCAGAGACAGAAAAGTACATTGAAAATGTCTTCTGTAACAGAGGGGCTTTTGCTGAATTCCATCACTGCTGTGAAGAAGGATACATGGAATGAGACAGATTTTATAGGACAGGCACTCCAGTCCTGACAGAACACTTCCAGTGTGTTACCACAGCATTTCACAACCATCACTGAGCTGCCCTTAGTTTACAACAGTGGCACAGGAAAGTGTTGAAATAGCAGTGGATTTTTATAAACAATATTGAAGGAGGTCAATTTTACAAAAAAGCAGAACAGCAAACCCAAGAATGGTTTCAGGCGTTGATACAATTTCCTACTATCTTTATTATTTTCTGAT